GTGCAACAAGAACAATAACATGTCGGGTGAGATTAGGGGGATGCAACAAGAACAATAACATGTCGGGTGAGATTAGGGGTGCAACAAGAACAATAACATGTCGGGTGAGATTAGGGGTGCAACAAGAACAATAACATATCAGGTGAGATTAGGGGTGCAACAAAAACAATAACAAGTCGGGTGAGATTAAGGGTGCAACAAGAACAATAACATGTCAGGTGAGATTAGGGGTGCAACAAGAACAATAACATGTCGGGTGAGATTAGGGGTGCAACAAGAACAATAACATGTCGGGTGAGATTAGGGGTGCAACAAGAACAATAACATGTCGGGTGAGATTAGGGGAGCAACAAGAACAATAACATGTCGGGTGAGATTAGGGGTGCAACAAGAACAATAACATGTCGGGTGAGATTAGGGGTGCAACAAGAACAATAACATGTCGGGTGAGATTAGGGATGCAACAAGAACAATAACATGTCGGGTGAGATTAGGGGTGCAACAAGAACAATAACATGTCGGGTGAGATTAGGGGTGCAACAAGAACAATAACATGTCGGGTGAGATTAGGGGTGCAACAAGAACAATAACATGTCGGGTGAGATTAGGGGTGCAACAAGAACAATAACATGTCGGGTGAGATTAGGGGTGCAACAAGAACAATAACATATCAGGTGAGATTAGAGAGGAAACAAGAACAATAACGTCAGGTGAGATTAGGGATGAAACAAGAACAATAACATGTCCGGTGAGATTAGGGGAGCAACAAGAATAACAAAGTCTACATGAAGTACAATTTGTTTACCACACGAAATTGAGCCGATTTACTAAAGCTGGCCATACACACAAAGATTTTTTTTCCTTCAGGTTGCAGGTTCCTCTAGCCATGAAGATGTAGGAATCTCCCGCTGTGACTATTATATTCTGACAGCTGGCTGCCATAAAACCCCAAGGAATCAGCACCTTAGCACATGTTGGGACTGCACAAAAAGTTTTTTTTTATTATTATTTTTAATTATGGTTATTATGTTTACAAATATGTTTTTTGTGTGTCACATTGTGTATGCGCAGTCTATATGATAGAGTTTGTATTTTTTGTGTGCATTCAGTTCACAATTAGGACTGCTGCAGCATAGGGTATTAGTATACATAGTATATTCCATAAGCGCCGCAGTATCCTTTTCTAATACCCCAATAGTGCCTGCATCCGATTGGATGAGGGTGCTTCTCGGCTAACAATTTTCTGCCCGTCTCCTTTGATGGGTGTGTGAATACTCACATCAATTATCCACTCATGTGCAGATGAAATAAGTAAATAGGAATTTGCTTTTCACATGACTGGATAATTGAAGTGAATATTCATGTAATTTATGGCATTAACATTCTCAACTCCTTTAGGAAATCCTCCTAAGCAGTGTGTGACATGGAGAGGGCTGTGTACTCCTTATGTGTCATGTGGGCTCCATCTTAAAAGCACACCCCGATATGTCAGTTTGTCTGCGCCCCCCCCCCAGAAGGATGTACATTCACTGCTATACCTTCACTTCTCCATCCCATTCACACCTGAGTGTTTTGTAGCTCAAAGCTCCAAGCCAGGGGCGGACTGACCATTTGGAAACTCGGCACTGCCCGAAGGCCCGGGGTCAGTAGGGGGCCCCATGAGATGCCCCTGGTACCTTTTTCATAGGCTTTTTTGAGCTTGGGCAAGGACACAGGGGCCCAACGATCCCCTATTGTCCGGGGGCCCCATGAGTTGTCAGTCCACCCCTGCTCCAAACTATGGCCCTCCATGTGTTGAGGAACTGCAAGTCCCATGAGGCCACAGGCAAGACTCCCAGAGGCAGAAGCATGAAGGGACTTGTAGTACTTCAACAGCTAGAGGGCCATAGTTTGGAGAGCCCTGCTCCAAACACTCAACACCCAAGATCCCATGTAATTTAATGGCAGCTGTGCACATACGAGCGCTCTGGTGCCTGTAGCTCAACGCCTGGTGCTCAAAAAAATTACACGAGCTACATCAGAATGAAATGTTTTTTGCCTCATAGACTTGAATAGGAACACCTGGAAACTCGTGAATTCGAGTACTTCCATGCGTTTTTCAGCTTGTAAACACTGATCTCCTCCCATCGGCTAAAGCCTAAACGCCTGAAGCTTGAATAGATGTAAAATGCTTGAAATACAATTCTAAAACTCTTGTGTATGAACAAAAGAATGTGCAAATACACTAAGCCTAGGTTCACACTTGTGTGGGTCGAGAACACTTGCAAAAAAAAAAAAAAAAAAACGCATACATTCCTGACCTGCAGCAAAATGCACTGCTTTTTTGTATACATGCAGGGATGCCAGTAATTCTTAAAGCAGAACACCGGTCAAAATGTTTATTTTACCATGCAGTGGGGCTGTGCCCCCACTGCATGGATCAGCTGTTCATTTTTCCTACGGGTGAGCACACAGTTCATACTCATTTGATCCACCGATTCTCTAGAAAACCGTGCTCCCCCACTGTCCAGCGGTGGACTGTTCCTGTCTATAGAGCATTCTGCTGTCAGGAACAGTCCATTTACAAGGATGCTGGACCACGGGGGGATGTTTCAAGAGCCAAAGGAAAGGGTCTTGTGTGGGGAGGATCACAGGGTCAAGTGAGTACATCTCTGATGTTCTCTCCCCTAAAGCAAAACGAGCAGTTCAAAAAAAAAAATTGTGCCCAGAAGTCTATTTATTCTATTTTAATGGCACCCCATGATTTGGCAAAAAACCTAAGTTTTTTTGTGTGCCGCAGCACCAAACAATTCTGCATGAGGCATTTAAAAAAAAAAAAAAAAAAAAAAAAAAAAAAAAAAAGGTTCCAGGACTTTCCTACCTGCATTTCTCATGGGTACAACAGCCTATTCAAATGAGTGGACTACTGTAGCCACAACAGGTGCGTACAAACGTGCCCCACCAATGTGAGCCTGGTCATAATAAATATGCCTACAAATCCCTCGGCTCGGGTGGGAATGCAACCTAAGCGCCAGTTCACACCATAGAAACACAGTCTGGGTGTTCCAGATGCGTTTCCGCATGCACATTTTTGATGCATTCCACTGCGTTTTTTTCCCCTCTCTATATGTAAATAGGGACATGTGTGTTCCAGTGCGTTTTTGGTGCATTCCAGTGTGCTTTTGATGTGTTTTACCATGTTCCAATACAGTTCTGTGCAGGAAAAATGCAGCCTGTTCTACTTTATTTTCTGCAACCGGAATGGCAAGCACTGATGTGAACTATGACATTGACAACCATATAACCTACTTTCTGTGCCTTTTGGATGCAGAAAAAAAAGCAACTGAAACACATGTAGTGTGAACTGGCCCTTACAGTGAATTTCACTTATTTCAGCGCTTGTGCACACCAGCCTCACTGGGCAGCATTGCCAAACACATAGACAGAGCAACTTGTTTTAGGTTTTATTGCTTCAGGTCAATAGTGCGTTGGTGTGTGCTGAAATAAAACCAAACAATTGGACATGTTGCGCTTTTGCGCAGTTTTCCATAATGCTGAAAAGCTTTGCCATGCACAGCCGTGTATACAGTAAAAAGACATGAAAGGTAAGTGAGGTTTAGGCCCCACTCATACTTGTGAATAGATGTGGGTGGGAAGCCCCACTGAAAGCAATAGGAGGCTTACAGCCTCAGCTGTTATTTGTGACAGCTCACATGTAATCGCTCAAACAGCGATTACCTGGGAATGGTGGGCTATTGGACACAGACAAGAAGGTTCCCATGGGTGCTGCTGATGTGATCATTTAGGACACCAGCCATTTGATGACTTGACAGTGGGTTGGGAGCCCAAGCAACTGTGACAGTTATCATGCATGGCATGGCTTGAATGGAACTTTTTTGGAAGACAAACTATTGGCCTTAAAGTGGAAACCTTACTCACCTTCTATCCAGCGCTGCGGTCTCCTGGAGCTCACTGCTGGCATCTTTGAATCAGCTTCCACGGGTACAGATCTTCGGCCATTTTCATTGGCTGAGATGATGTCACTCCTGTGCACATGTGGGAGTTCATTCATCTGAGATTTGTACAGTGAGCCAGAGGTGTGCAGCGGGTAATGGAATTTTAATGCAGGAGAGACATAGTGGGGGAGATTTACTAAAACTGGATCACTCAGAATCTGGTGCAGCTGTGCATAGTAGCCAATCAGCTTCTATCTTCAGTTTGTTCAATAAAACCTGGAAGCTGATTGGTTTCTATGCACAGTAGCTCCAACTTTTGCACTCTCTAGTTTTAGTAGGTCTCTCCTGCATTAGAATCTGCCTGTTTGCCATTTCCCCCCTCATATAGAGTTCCATATTAAGTGGCTGTTCATATCAGGATGAGGCGGTGGATTCCTAATCACATGATCGCTGTGATTGGCTGTCACGTGATCAGAAGCTCAGCTGATCACAAACAGTAGTTAGTGATGAGCTCAGACCCCAGGCCTAACCCACCTGAGTGGGCCTGGCATGAAGCGGTCACCTGTATGGACCAATCATATGTTGCCAAAGCATTTCCCAAGGCTTCATGTAAACACGTCCCTTGGCGAGAAATACCTCTGCCAGAGATGATTGGCTGGTACAGGTGACAGCTTCCTGCTGGGCTCACATAGGTGGGTTTGGACTGGGATGTGAACTCACCTGATGAGTGACTAGGAGCTGTCAGTCTACTAGGACGCAGTGAGCACGCTCTCAGCGCGGAGGCTCATGGACGCATACATCGAGGCTGGGGTTTAAAGCCCTATGTGGTCAGGAAGAGGTTAATCTTGTATCCTCACATCATTCAGTAAAATAATAGAGTTGGCTTTGAAAGTGAACCCAGTGTACTTGTTTAGTAAATCAGTGTCGTGTGACCAATGATGGTCAGGATGGGGAGCTCTCCCTCCAATGAGAACACACACAGCCCGATCACCGATCTGTTGTCAAACTTATGATGGGAGCCCCCCCCCCCATGACCCCGCCCCGTCTACTCGGCTCCTCTCTCACCTGAACCCCAGGCAGGCCGGTGTGCCCCAGGGAGACGTTCATCCGTGCCGGCCCCGAGATCCACAGCGAGCCGTGTACAAGACCCCGCAGCCGGGGGCCCCTGGATGGCCGGTCCGGGCCCAGGAGGAGGGGGAGAGTGACTGCGGGCACCGAGGTCCGGAGTGTACAGGAAGAGATTTGTGTGCGATGATGATTTCCGCCCGGGAACGGTCCGATCAGTACGGGATATGTCAGCCTCGGATTTCTCCGCTCTCCTCCTCTACAGACAGGCAGACCAGGAAACGAGAAATAGAAATAACAATAACCACCCACCTACCACCCTCCTCCCCCTCCTCCTCCTCCCCCCTGCTCCTCCTGCCTGAGCTGCTAATCGTCTCACTGCTGACAGCACCACATGGACGAGGCTGCTGGGCCCGGCAACAGGTCTGTGTGCACACAGGGCCCGGTACCTCTAGGGGCCCGGTAACAGGTCTGTGTGCACACAGGGCCCGGCACCTACAGGGACCGAGCAACAGGTCTGTGTGCGCACAGGGCCCGGCACCTACAGGGACCGAGCAACAGGTCTGTGTGCGCACAGGGCCCGGCACCTACAGGGACCGAGCAACAGGTCTGTGTGCGCACAGGGTCCGGCACCTACAGGGGCCCGGCAACAGGTCTGTGTGCGCACAGGGTCCGGCACCTACAGGGGCCCGGCAACAGGTTTGTGTGCACACAGGGCCCGGCACCTACAGGGGCCTGGCAACAGGTCTGTGGCAACAGGTCTGTGTGCGCACAGGGCCCACCTACAGGGCAAGCAAGGTCTGTGTGCGCACAGGGCCCGGCACCTACTACAGGGACCGAGCAACAGGTCTGTGTGCGCACAGGGTCCCGGCAACAGGTCTGTGTGCGCACAGGGTCCGGCACCTACAGGGGCCGGCAACAGGTCTGTGTGCGCACAGGGGCCCGGCAACAGGTCTGTGTGCGCACAGGGCCCGGCAACAGGTCTGTGTGCGCACAGGGCCCGGCGCCTCGCAACAGGGCCCGAGCAACAGGTCTGTGTGCGCACAGGGCCCGGCTCCTCTTGGGGAGGGCCGAGCAACAGGTCTGTGTGCGCACAGGGCCCGGCTCAGTCTTGTGGCACAGGGCCCGAGCAACAGGTCTGTGCACATAGGGCCCGGCTCCTCTTGGGAGGGCCCGGCGCCCTAGGGACCGAGCAACAGGTCTGTGTGCACACAGGGCCCGGCTCCTCTTGGGACCGAGCAACAGGTCTGTGTGCACACAGGGCCCGGCTCCATCTAGGGACCGAGCAACAGGTCTGTGTGCACACAGGGCCCGGCTCCTCTAGGGATCGGGCAACAGGTCTGTGTGCACACAGGGCCCGGCTCCTCTAGGGACCGGGCAACAGGTCTGTGTGCACACAGGGCCCGGCTCCTCTAGGGACCGGCAACAGGTCTGTGTGCACACAGGGCCCGGCTCCTCTAGGGACCGGGCAACAGGTCTGTGTGCACACAGGGCCCGGCTCCTCTAGGGACCGGGCAACAGGTCTGTGTGCACACAGGGCCCGACCCCTGTAGGGACCCGGCAACAGGTCTGTGTGCACAGAGGGCCCGGCAACAGGTCTGTGTGCACACAGGGCCCGACCCCTCTAGGGACCCGGCAACAGGTCTGTGTGCGCAGAGGGCCCGGCAACAGGTCAGTGTGCGCACGGACCAAGCAACAGGTCTGTGTTCACAGAGAGCCCATCACCTACAGGGACCCAGCAACAGATCTGTGTGCGCAGAGGCCCGGCTCCTACAGGGGCCAGGCAACAGGTCTATGCACACAGGACCCGGCACCTCTAGGGGCCCGGCAACAGGTCTGTGTGCACACGGGGCCCGGCGACAGGTCTGTGTGCGCACGGGGCCCGGCGACAGGTCTGTGTGCGCACGGGGCCCGGCGACAGGTCTGTGTGCGCACGGGGCCCGGCGACAGGTCTGTGTGCGCACGGGGCCCGGCGACAGGTCTGTGTGCGCACGGGGCCCGGCAACAGGTCTGTGTGCGCACGGGGCCCGGCAACAGGTCTGTGTGCACACAGGGCCCGGCAACAGGTCTGTGTTCACAGAGAGCCCATCACCTACAGGGACCCAGCAACAGGTATGTGTGCGCAGAAACCTGGCTCCTACAGGGGCCTAGCAACAGATCTGTGTGCGCAAAGGCCCGGCTCCTACAGGGGCCAGGCAACAGGTCTGTGTTCACAGAGGGCCCAGCACCAGGTCTGTGTGCACGGGCCCAGCACCAGGTCTGTGTTCACAGAGGGCCCAGCAACAGGTCTCTGTGTACACCGGGCCTGGCACCTCTAGGGGCCCTGCAACAGGTCTGTGTTCACAGAGGGCCCAGCACCTACAGGGACCCAGCAACAGGTCTGTGTGCACAGAGGGCACATTACCTACAGGTCTGTGTACAGCGGGCCCAGGAACAGGTCTGTGTGCGCAGAGGGCCTAGCACCTACAGGGACCCAGCAACAGGTCTGTGTGCACACAGGGTCCGGCAACAGGTCTGTGTTCACAGAGGGCCCAGCACCTACAGGGACCCAGCAACAGGTCTGTGTGCGCAGAGGCCCGGCTCCTACAGGGGCCCGGCAACAGTTCTGTGCACACAGGACCAGCACCTCTAGGGACCCGGAAATAGGTCTGTGTTCACAGAGGGCCCAGCACCTACATGGACCCAGCAACAGGTTTGTGTGCGCAGAGGCCAGGCTCCTACAGGGGCCCGGCAACAGGTCTGTGTGTACACAGGGCCCGGCACCTCTAGGGGCCCTGCAACAGGTCTGTGTTCATAGAGGGTCCAGCAACAGGTCTGTGTGCACAGAGGGCCCATTACCTACAGGTCTGTGTACACAGCAGGGGCCCAGGAACAGGTCCCTAGCACCTACAGGGGCCCAGGAACAGGTCTGTGTGTGCAGAGGGCCTAGCACCTACAGGGGCCCCAGTGACAGTTCTTTGTGCACAGAGGGCTAATCATCACCTATAGGTCTGTGTTCACAGAGGGCCCAGCACTTACAGGGGCCCAGCAACAGGTTTGTGTGCACAGAAGGCCTGGTATCTACAGGGTCCCAGTGACAGGTCTTTGTCCACAAAGGAACCAGCATCTACAGGGGCCCAGCAACAAGTCTGTGTATAGAGGGCTCAGCACCTACAGGTCTGTGTGTGCAGGGGCCAAGCAATAGGTCTGTGTGCACAGAGTGCCCATCATCATCTACATGTCTGTGCACAGAAGGCCCAGCACTTATAAGTCTTTGTTCACAGAGGGGAGCACCTACAGGTCTGTGTGCACAGAGCACCCACATGTCTGTGCACAGTCTGTCTTTGTTCACAGAAGGACAGGTCTGTGTTCAGGACCCAGCACCCACAGGTCTGTGTTCACAGGGGCACCACAGCACTTACGGGTCTGTGTTCACAGAGGGCCCAGCACTTACGGATCTGTGTTCACAGAGGGCCCAGCACCTACGGGTCTTTGTTCATAGAGTGCCCATTACCTACAGGTCTGTGTGCACAGAGGGCCCTGCACCTACAGGTCTGTGTGCACAAATGGCACATCACCTGTATTGGCCCAGCAACTGGTCTGTGTGTACAGAGGGCCCAGCAACAGGTCTGGGTGCACAGAGGGCCCATCACCTACAGGTCTTTGCACAGAGGGCCCATCTGCACAGAGGGCATGCCTGAGTGTGCACAGCATGGATGAAGAGGGCATGCCTGATGAAGAGGTCCTGCGAGACTCTGAAACGTTGCCTTGCTGTAACCATGTGATCGTTTGTTAAAACTTTTGGACCCATATTGGTGATCCTCTGTGTGCTGGTGACATTTTCCCTTGCTGATTCTGTTCGGTTCCAGCCAACTGTCGCTGCAGCACCTACTTGTACACACAGCCATTTTTAACACAGGAACGTGTGCATTTGGATTGTACACTTGCACAGAGGGCCCATCGCCTACAGGGGTACAGCAGGACAACCCCGTTTATTCCTGGATCTTCTTACAGACAACAATCTGCTGGTTCCCCACTGCACAGGAAACAAAGGGAGATCTTTAAGGGGTTCTAAAGTAAAAATGGTTGTTTAATGTATTCTGTGCATTAAAGTGGTAGTAAAGTCTTTTTTTTTTTCTCTTTTACCTACAGGTAAGCATATTATTATTATTATACAGTATTTATATAGCACCAGAAAGGTTTGCTCAGTGCTGTACATTATAGTGGGGGACAGAACATGAGACAATACAGTAACAAAACAATATACGAGGGGTTCAAGGGCCCTGCTCTTTTGAGCTTACAATCTAGGAGGGGGGGGGATAGTGGTACAGGAGGAAGTGGCTGTGGGGGATGGAATGGTAGGAGGAGTGGAGGAGATCGGCTGTTAGGTGAGGGTGGGGTAGGCTTCCTGGAAGAGATGGGTTTTCAGGGTGTGCCTAAAGGTGAGAGTAGGTGACAGTCTGATGGATTGGGGTAGTGAGTTCCAGAGGATGGGGGAGGTCCTGCAGTTGGGAGGTGGAGACCAGGGAGCTAGAAATTAGGAGGTCTTGTGAGGAGCGAAGATTACGGGTTGGGTGGTATTTGGGTATCAGGTCGGTGAGGTAGTTTTTGGGGGCAGCGTTGTGAATGGCTTTGTATGTCAATGTTAGTGGCTTGAATTTAATGCGTTGGGCAATCGGAAGACAGAGGGGGGTGGCAGAAGTGGAGCGGTTGGTAAGGTGGATTAGTCTGGCCGCTGAGTTCAGGATAGACTGAAGTGGGGATAGTCTGTGATGAGGTAGGCTGGTGAGGAGGGAGTTGCAGTAGTCCAGACGTGAAATAATGAGGGAGTGAATGAGTTGTTTAGTAGTGTCTGGGGTTAGGAACTACGTATTTTGGAGATGTTGCGGAGGTGGAGCCTGCATGAGTTTGCCAACGATTGGACATGGGGTTGGAAGGACAAGTTTGAGTCTAGAGTGACATCTAGGACTTTGGCTTGCGGGGTGGGACTGATGGTGGCGTTCTTGGACGTGATGGAGAGGGTGGGGGAGCGGGCTGGGGTGAAGATTAGGAGCTCGGTTGTG